AACGATGGTGCTGCGGATGATGAAGACCATGATGTTGCGGATGATGTTGGTGACGATTGTGGTGATGATGATGATGATGATGATGATGATAATGATGATTATGACGATGCCGATTATGATAATGATCATCAAGATGATGATGATGAAGTTTACCAGTATGATGCTGATGCTGATTGTGGTGATGATGACGATGTTGATGATGATGACGGTGATGATGGTGATGCTGTTGATGATGATGATGATGATGATGAGGAGGAGGAGGAGGATGATGATGATGATGATGATGGTGATGATGATGATGAGGAGGAGGAGGAGTAGGAGGAGGAGGATGGTGCTGCTGCTGCTCATGGTGGTGATAATGACGATGAGGATGCTGCTGCTGCTGATGATGATGATGCTGATGATGATGACGACGATGATGATGATGATGCTGCTGCTGATGATGATGATGAGGAGGAGGAGGACGATGAGGACGATGATGATGATGAGGAGGAGGAGGGGGAGGATGAGGAGGAGGAGGAGGAGTAGGAGGATGATGATGATGATGCTGATGATGATGCTGATGATTACCATGATGATGATGATGCTGATGCTGATGCTGATGATGATGATGATGATGTTGATGATGATGAGGATGAGGATGAGGATGATAATGCTGACGATGAGGAGGAGGATGATGATGATGCTGATGATGATGTTGTTGTTGTTGTTGCTGTTGATGATGATGATGATGATGCTGATTGTGGTGATGATGATGATGATGATGATGCTGATGATGATGATGATGATGATGATGACGATGGTGATGATGATGATGATGATGATGATGATGATGATGATGATGCTGATGATGATGATGAGGATGAGGATGAGGATGAGGATGAGGATGGATGAGATGAGGATGAGGATGAGATGAGATGAGAGGAGGATGCTGCTGCTACTGCTGCTGCTGAGGAGGAGGAGGAGAAGGATGATGATGATGATGATGATGATGAGGAGGAGGAGGAGGAGGAGGAGGAGGAGGAGGAGGAGGCGGAGTACCAGAGCGAGCCCAGGAGGCGCCCACGATTCTGCAGCGCACGCTCCCGTCCCAGGGCGCCTCCTCGCACGCCCCCCTGCAGGCATGCCGTGCCTTGCGCGGGAGGCGCCTCCCGTGGACTCACCAGAGGCCCCTTGGGCCTGCCGGCTCGGGTGAGACCCCGCTTGCGCAAAGGATCCGCCCTCCAGCCTCCTAGCCTTAAGTCGGGCCTGTCCCTCCACGGGAGGAAGATTCAAACATAGTCAAAAAATAGTCTGGGGACGATTTGTTGGACAAGATTCGAATAGTTTAGTCAGTGTATGTGTTTTGACTATTGTTCATTTTTCGCCTAAGATCCCCCTGTAGGGGGACAGGCCCGACCTGATCCTGGCCAAACGGTGCGCAAATAGAGGCACGGGGTCTTCACTCTGGGAAGTGCCCATCGAGTTCGGGCGATCCGAGGCGACCCGATGCTTGCACGGCGCTGTCGTGCATCCCGGCGAGGCCGATCTGATTCGATTTCGGCTCCGTGCCGATGCGGCCCGATCCGACGCACGCTCTGATCCTAGTCAGCTTCCTGGTTCGATGCCGGCTGATCCTGAACCCCGAACCTGCCCCCTCCCCTCCCAGCCCTCTTGAGCACTTGCTCCTGGACGTCTCCTGGGGTGTGCTCTGCCAGGACTTTCGGCCCCGAGGCCTCAAGAAAGGGAAACCTTGGGCGTTTCGTAGTAGATGGGCGGAGCATGGGGGGGCTCTCGAACGTTGCAGGAAAGGTGCTCCAAAGGGGCCCCGAAGGGGCCCCCATGGGGCCACGACGGTGCCGGGAAGGTGCGCCTTCCTTCGGCCTCCGCTTCTTGCCCCTCCCACGAAGCAGCGCCCGGAAAGCAACCAGCCACCCGGACTCGATCCTCGAGCCCCCCGCTCGATCGTCGAACCTCGGCCTCGACCTTGAAGCCTTGGTCCCCCCCCCGCCCCCCAGACCTCGAACCTCGACCTCGAGACTCGAGCCTCGAGCCTCGATCCCGATCCCCCCTTCCCCCCCCAGACACGGCCGACGCCGACCTGGAGTGGCCGCGCCGAGACCGCAGCCCGCCGCGGCGTGGGGGCAGCCCGCCGCGGCGCGGGGGCAGCCCGCCGCGGCGTGGGGGCAGCCCGGGCCGGGGCCCGGGGGAGCTCCCGGCGTGCCTTCGGGGGCGGAAGAGAGGGGGGGTGATGGCCAGGGGGGGGGGTGGACATCATGGCGGGGGCCATGATAAGTTATTTGCCCAGATCTCCTGGCGCCTCGTCTCCTTTCGGTACGTCCCTGGCCCCCCCGCTGGGCCGCGCACATGCCGCCGGTCATGATGTGCACCCCCCCCCTCTTGGGCACCCCCTTGTTGGCCGCTCCCGATTCCTCGGCTTATCGTCGTCGCGGTCGGCCGCCGCCAGGCCTCTCGCCTCCGTCGTCGGTGTGTGGAGGGCGGGGCGGGAGAGGGGCATTATAGGGAGGGGGGTTGGGGGGAGGAGGAGGAGGAGGAGGAGGGGGGTTGGGAGGAGGAGGAGGAAGAGGAGGAGGAGGAGGAGGAGGAGGAGGAGGAGGAGGAGGAGGAGGAGGAGCGATGAGGGGAGGGAGGAGGAGGAGGAGGAGGAGGAGGAGGAGGAGGAGAGGCGGAGAGGAGGAGGAGGAGGAGGAAGGAGTAGGAGGAAGTAGGAGGAGGGGATTGGGAGAGGAGGAGGAGGAGGAGGAGGAGGAGGAGGAGGAGGAGGAGGAGGAGGGGGAGGAGGAGGAGAGAGGAGGAGGACGGAGGAGGAGGAGGATGAGGAGGACGGAGGAGGAGGAGGAGGAGGAGGAGGAGGAGGAAACGGAGGAGGAGGAGGAGGAGGAGGAGGAGGGGGAGGAGGAGGAAGGGTGGGTGGAGGGACGAGGGAGTTTTTGACATCCACCGTGGGACCGCACGGCAGACCGCCTGCTGGGCCTGCCGCCAAGAAGCTGTGAGGCACGCCAGAGGCACGGGCGACCCTGCCAGCACGAGAGCCTCAGGGCGATGCAGCCGATCCCCTCAGGGGTCCGACGGCGACCGCAGCCTGCAGGCTGGACAGGACGGGCCGCCGAGACCAGCGAGCAGGGGGCGCGCACAAGGCGCCTGCGAAATGAGAACAGGCACGAGGACGGCCTGGGCGCAGCAGCCCCTAGTCCGAGGAGTCCTCGTCGCGGGCGCTTCCAACGGCGCTCGAACCTGCGGCTTGCAAGAGGCGTAGCCAGTTGCGCGCAGTGAGCAGCTCCATCTCGTCTTCTCGCAGGCAGCGGGGCAGGGCCACAGGAGCTGGCTGGGAGCCGTCAAGCCACGGCCCCACCTCAACAGCCCCCAACTCACGGAGCTGCTCTGGATCGGGCATGGCTCCAGCTCCAAGGCCGAACAGCCCCACCCATGGTCATCATCCAGCGCACGGTCCACGGTCCATACCAGGGTTGCCCGCAGGGATGTCCAGTGCCGCCGCTTGAGCTTCCCCGACGGCGCTTGCTGCCCCCTCTGCTGCTTGGGCGGCTCCTGCACGCGCTGCCACCTGCTCGGCTGCCGCTGCGTCTGCAGCTGCCTTGGCTGCGTTCGCTGCCGTGACCAGGTCCTCGACCTGCGCGGCGATTCGGGCGCCCTCATCGCCGAGCCTGCCATTGACCACCTCCAGCGCCGCTGCCAGCTGCGTGCCTGGTGTTGCGGGCGCTGGGGTCCCAAGAGCCCCGTCCTTCTGCATGATCTTGGCGATGGCGTCTCTGTGCTCCCTGACAGCCGTCCGCTGCCTCTCCAGCACCACCGTCTCGTCCATCTTGGCCTGGGTCGCCGCCAGCTCCCTTTGAGCTTCGCCAGCCTGGCCTCCGTCTCGGCGATCTTGGCCTCTGTCTCGCTCTTGCGGTGGAGCAGTTTCTGCGACTTCGGCTCACCCTTGAGGGCAACCACTTTTGCTTTGTTCTCCTCCGACCGACGACGACGACTGGCGAGGTCTTGGAATTCATCGATCAGCTCGCCGTGCAGTCTGAGCCGCTTCTCCTGCACCCCGCAGCACTCCAGCTCGCACTCCAGGCGCCAGGGGCCCGGGATGCGGCCCCCCTGCCGGGCGTCCTGCCCTGAGGCGGGTGGCGTGCCGGGCTCCGACTCGCTCCCGAAACGCTCCGCCACGGCGGGTTGCCGTTGCTTGGCGCCGCCCTTGTCCCCGACGAGCGCTGGCCGCATCGGGCGATGCCAGGCCTGGGCGTCTGCTGCGCCACGCCGCAGCGGCGGCAGGACATGCGACGCGCCCAGATCGGCACTGCAGTAGTTACACGCCTGTCGCTGCAAGCAGGTGTGTCTTTGGACTCCCAGATGCCAGACTACTCCCAGATGCCAGCTACTTCAAGTGCCTTCCTGTTCCAAGAGTCGATCTGCTTTTGCTGTGTGTTGCCATTTTCTTGGGGGCCTGTGCCCATTCTACTTTAGCCGTCGTCCTACTTCATGTTTTTACCAATCTCTTTCGACCGACGTGTACCCGACCTGGCGCACGCTCCACACGTCCACCCTTGATGGACGACAGCTGTTCTTGAGCCAGCCCACGCAAGACCAGAGTCTCTTTCACTCTTTCCCAGTTCGGGCCAGGAACAGCTATTCTGATGATGGCGATGCTGATGATCATGATGATGATGATGCTGTTGCTGCTGATGATGCTGATGATGCTGATGAGATGTTGATGATGATGACGATGGTGGGAAGGATGGTATGCTAATGCTGATGCTGATAGTGGTGTTGATCATGCTGCTGCTGCTGATGATGATGATAACGGTGATGGTGCTGATGAAAATGATGATGATGAGGTGGAGGAGGAGGAGGAGGAGGAGGAGAAGAAATAGGTTGAGTACAAGGGCGATGAGCGAGCAGGAGGAGGGTGCTGATCGGAGGAAGAAGGGGAGGAGGTGGAGGAGGAGGAGAAGGGGTATGGAAGAGGAGGAGGAGGAGGAAGAAGAAGACGGATGACTGCGAGATGGACGAGGACGATGAGGAGGACGATGGCGAAGAGAGGACGGACGGCGATGAGGAGGACGACGACGGCGACGGCAAGGAGCCGCGGCGGCGCTCGGTGTCCCGCCAGCGGCACGAGCCCGACGGCGTCGACCAGGATGCGGAGCGCTGGGCAGCGGCGCGCTTTAGGCCCCACCCCCTTCCGGCGGGATGCCCGATGCGGTGTTTGTGCGACATGCGAATGCGATTGTGCAGTCGCCCAAGCCTGACGCCATGATGTGAGTGATGGTGATGCGATGGTGTATGATAAGGGACGGTCGCCACCAATGCTACTAGCAAGGGGGGATGCGACTTCCGATGTGATGGAGGGCCCTTGCAAGTCTTACTGCGTTCCTTGTGACGGCGCCTTTTGCAATCCTACGACGGTCCCTGCTGCACCGCTTACTGCAGTCCTGATCACAGCGTTTACTACAGCCCCTGCTGCACTCCCGAGTGCACGCCCTGCTACGGCCCGTACGGAACTCTCTTTAATTGCAGTCCAGAGTGCAGCCGAGGATGCGGCCCCAGGCTACTCCCCTTCTACTGCAGCTTCGGCTACAACGCTGCGCTGAATACTGTGATTAGTGAATGTTGCAGCGCTCAGTGTGTCACCATAGGAGAACTTCTACGGTGGCGCTTGCTACACGCCCTGCTACATGCCTCATTGTAATGCTTACTACAGCCTACGTTGCCCCTCCCCCTTCCCACCGTTCCCACGACAGCCGTTACTGCAGGCCGTCGCACAGCCCCACGTGTTCCAGTCCCTGCCAAAGCTTCCATTACCACAGCCCGTGCTGTAGTCCTGATTTCAGCTCCCACTACAGCGCCCTACTACATCGCATTTTGCAGAGACCGATACCGCCCGATTCACGAGCTTGCTACAGTGCGCTGGCCGCATCGTCCTTCGCAGTTCCAGCTACAGCTTCGAGTACAGTCCGCACTATATTCTTTACATCAACCATAGTTACGGCTCCTATTCCTGTGCCTCGTACAGTGCCGATACCAGTGCTTACTACAGCGCGTGCTGCCGTCCCCACTGCTTCGACAGCTCTAGCTACATCCCCTAGTAGAACCCCCGGTCACTACACCTTGCAGTGCAAACCCTACTGCTTCAGCGTCTGCGGCAGCCCCTGCTGTAACGCCTGCTGCGGCCCCTACCACCGCCTATTGCAGCGCCGACTGACCCTCCCCCCCCCCCTACTGGAGTCCCGCAGTGCATGCGCGCGCACCACAATTCTGGCGTGTACCACAGCGCTTGTCTGCACCGTGCTGCCTGCATGTGCGCCGTAGCGCTTGTGTGCACCGCAGTGCGCGCGCGCACCGCAATGCCAGCAGTGCGCATGTGTACCAGAGTGTTGGCGTGCCGTGTCGTCGAATGACTCATGGTGCACACTGCAACACACCCGTGGCTCAGTACATAAGGCACGCAGGCGCTGTGGTGCACACAGGCATTGGCGTGGCGGCGCGCCCAACCGTCGCGGCGCACGCGCGCGCTGTTTGCATCGCGGTGCGCAGTGGCATTGCGTTGCACAAGTGCACCATGGTGTGCGCACAGGCCTTTTGTTGCGCACGAACTTTAGGGGTGCTGAAAAAAAACAAGAGGGTGTCGCATGCGCAACCAGTCGGTTCACCGCTTTACAATAATTGGGGTCGCCATTTTCCCTGGTACCTCTTGTCCCTCTCGCCTGTCCCCGTTCCACTGTCAGTCTCATGTGGCGTCTCTGTTGCAGCTTCGCCCACGGGGCTGGGGCTGGCAGCCGCCACGCCTCCCTCCGTTGCGGCAAGCTGGCCTGCGGCAGGCGTTTGCTTCGATGGGCATCTCAGGGTACACTTGCCTTGCCCTCTGTGGGCGAAGGTTGTCCAGGGCCAGAGTCCGACGGCGAGCAACCGCTGGGAGAGCCCAGAAGTAAGGATCGCAGCGTCTGCTGCAGTCGGCGTTCGTCTTAGACGCCGAATGGGCACAGAAGGTATACATACCATGGGGTGCCCCCCTCGCCCTGTGGCTGTTTGGAGTCCCTTCGGACATGGCGTATGCTACCCCCGCGTGGCGGCAGCGCCAGACAACCGCTCAAAAGCGTGATGCAGCATTCGCAGGCAAGGATGGTCCCCACCCTTTCGGGAGCTTCTCGTCGGGATGCTCCTGACGGGGCCATCTCGCCTCCTCCTTTCTCTCTCCCTTCTAATCCTCCCCTCCTCCTCCCCTCCTCCTCCTTTTCCCCTCCCCTCCCTCGTCCTCCCTCTCCCCCCCCCCCCTTCCTCTACGTTTTCTCACAGCGCGACCCCGCGGTGGTCGCGACGTCTCCTTCCTGGCTTCTCATCCCGAGACGTTTTCGGGGCCCGCAGAAGTCGGTTTTTGGACCCCCCACAAGCGCGACGTCTTCTCGTTTTTGTATATAACAAGCAAGCAGCGAGATGATTCGGTTTGGGAACCCTGACATCCTCTGATTTGACTCTGTCAATCTGCGGCCCCAGAGCTCCCGACCTCGCTCTCCTGGCAAATGTCTGCCCTGGATGCCTTTTCGATTGCCGTGGGGCACCGCAGCGGCCCCTGGGAAGCCGAGCTCGAGGAATGACGCCAGGATCGAACAGAAAGACAGGGCCGTCGGAGATCTCTCCGGGAGAGGAGGCTCGTTGGCCAGCCCCGGGGGAGGTGAGGAGAGGGGGCGGGGGCGGGCCTTCGTAGACGGCTCGGAAGTGCCCTCGGCCTTCTGAGGAGTCTTCGAGCCCCCCCGCAGAAGGCACAGCGGGCCTCTCGGAAGGCCGGAGGGCCTCCGAGAGGCCCCGCCGCCCTCCTCTCGGGCGGGCGGCAGCGGGGGGGGACGGCTGCTCGTGCTGTGGCCACTGCTGCTGCTGCTGCTGCTGCTGCTGCTGCAACTACTTCTACTAGTACTACTACTACTACTAGTACTAGTACTAGTAGTAGTACTACTACTACTACTACTACTACTACTACTACTACTACTGCTACTGCTACACTACTACTACTACTACTACTACACTACTACTACTACTACGAACTAACTACTACTACTACTACTACTACTACTACTACTACTACTACTACTCCTACTACTACTACTACTACGACTACTACTACTACTACTACTACTACTACTACGACTACTAACTACTACTACTACGACTACTACTACTACTGCTACTACTGCTACTACTACGACTTACTACTACTACTACTACTACACTTACTACTACTACTACTACTACTACTACTACTACTACTACGACTACTACTACGACTACGACTACGACTACGACTACGACTACGACTACTACTACTACTACTACTACTACTACTACTACTACTACTACTACTACTACTACTACTACTACTACTACTACTACTACTACTACTACTACTACTACTACTACTACTACGACGACTACTACTACTACTACTACTACTACTACTACTACTACTACTACTACTACTACTACTACTACTACTACTACTACTACTACTACTACTACTACTACTACTACTACTACTACTACTACTACTACTACTACTACTACTACTACAACTACTACTACTACTTCAACCACAAGACGAGTCTTCGTAGTCACCCTTCCCCGCCGCCCCATCTCGGGCAGGGGCCCCAGAAAGGGGTCCCTTCGGGCCCCCCTCTCGGGCACCCACTGGCTCCCAAAGGGGCCCCGAGAGGGCCTCTCTCGAAGGCTTCCTCTTCCCCCCCCCCTTGGGGTCACCCCCGCTGCTCCCCCCCTTGGGGTCCCCCCCCCCTCTTGGTTGGGGTCACCCCCCCCCCTTGGGGTCACCCCCCCGAGAGGGCCTCTCTCGAGGGCTTCTTCTTTCCCCCCCCCTTGGGGTCACCCCCGCTGCCACCCGCCCGACCTCCCAGAAGGCATGCCCCTGCTCGCCTCGCTCGCTCGGCGCCGGGCAGCGAGCCCTCCTCGCGCTCGGGGAGGCGCCCCCCCCCCCCCCCCCCCCCGCCGAGGCGGGCCAGCTGCCCCCCGGAGCTCCGGCGGGCGAGCAGCCCGAGCTGGAGGCGGGCGGACGCGGGCCTCGACCAGGACGGCGGGTGGTCGGCCGCCTCGACGCTTCGAGCCTCGGGAGCCTCCTCCTCCTCCCTCCTCCTCCTCCTCCTCCTCCTCCTCCTCCTCCTCCTCCCATCGCCAAGGACATAGAGGCTGCCAGCTTCAACAGGCACTACACAGCAGCACTGGTTCCAGCCGTCAGCGGCCCAGGCGGACGACCCTCCAGTGGGGTTGGATTTCTTGTGCCAAGAAATGTTGGTCTTACGTACCTTGAAGGCATGAATACGTTCGATATCTCACCACCTGGTTCGGCTGGGCGCGTTGCAGTGGGCTGGTGCTCTGCTGGACAAAAGGGTGGCCTCATGATTATCACGGCATATTTTTGGACACGTGAAGGCTGGACGATTCGAAATTTGTCAATTCTGGAGGCCATTGCCACGGTCATCAAGCAGTATGACATACCGTGGATATTCCAAGTGGATTTCAACGAGACGGGGGAGTCTCTGATCAAGACGGGCTGGTGCCAAGATGTGGGAGGAGTTGTGCGTCTCCCCAACACTACCACGTGTGCAGGAGTCGGCGGTGGCAGTATCATCGATTTCTTTGTGGTCGACGCCCGCATCCAGCACGCCTTCGGAGATACGGTAGAAGTTTTAGACACCGCAGCCGCGCCCCATTCGCCAATCCGTTTAGTCATGCAGTCCAGGATGCGAGCAAAAGTCGGCTGGAGGCTTGCCAAGCCCAGACCTTTCCCAATGGAGAGGCCGTGCGGACCAGTCCCGCAGCCTGCACAGTGGCCAGACTTCGATCATCACGACGATTTAAATGGCACCCAGCTCGATCAGATATGGAAGCAGGTCTCACACTGTGCTGAAGCAGAGCTGGTGAATCTCCTGGGCGTGGAAGAACCTCAATCCTACCTCGGTCGGGGTGACCCTCCTCGGTGGACCTGGGCCCCCCTCGCTGGTCCTCAACCGCACGCGCGCCCCAGGGGAACACCCAGCTCCCGAGCCTGGCGGTGGGTAGCCGCACGAGCCAGTGATTTCATTTTCCTCGCACAAGCTGCCCAGCAGGAGGGCACCTGGATGCATGCACGCGCGAGACGAGCAAAGCTCGAGCGCCGCATCGGAGGAGGAAGGAGTCGGCTGGTTCATGACCTGGGGGAGGAGGCTGAGCACGTAATCGCCCAGTTTGAACGATTTTGCGCCTTTTGTCTCCAGGGCCCAGCGCTCATGGAGCAGGCCCCAGAGATCATGGGCCTCCAGCGTACTGCAGTAGCCAAGGCTCAGACCATCGAGCGGCAGCAGGCGGCCGCACGGTCAAAAGAATGGAGAGAACGTTTGAAGAAGGAGTCAAATGCAGGCTCTTCTTTCATCCACAGGATCAGCAAGTGGCGTACTCCTCCTCCCCCCGTTACGGGTTACTCTGTCTCCAACCTCGAGCTTGCTGATCCTCAGGAAGCGGCCGACAGGGCCGCGCAAGAGTGGTTTGACGTTTGGGGCTCCCATGGGCAAGAAAGCACGGGTCCCGCTGACCGACCCTGGGAGGCCGCTCGGTTTGCCCACCCGTTGGTTCACCTGGACCGCCAGCTGTTTACCAACATATGTCTGAGTTTTCTTGCCAGGACGGGAATAGGTTCTGACCACTGGCGCCCGCGCTGGTGGGCTTGGCTTTCGGACGAAGGCAAAGACTGCCTCATTCAGCTTGTGATGTTTATCTCTCGCACGGCGCAGTTTCCATCGCAGGTAAGGTACATCATATATTTCCTTCTGTCGAAGGAGTCGGGAGGCACTCGGCCGATTGGGCTCCTCCCCTCCCTCATGCGTGTAGTTGAGCGAGCACACTCAGGCCTTTTTCACGACTGGGAGCGCTCGGCCAAGCGCAAATATGACTTCGGGGGCCCTGGAGGGGGCTCCGAAGAGGCCGCGTGGCACCAGATGGTGCATGATGAGAGGACGCGTGAGGGGGAGGTGTCGGTGACGGGGTTGCTGGATCTGTCGCGTGCGTTTGAACATGTAACCATGAGTGCCCTGTGGGCGGTAGCCCCTCTGTGCGGCTTCCCTCAGCAGCTAGCCAAGCTGCTCATCAGCATATACACTTCTACCAGGCTGGTAGCCTTTCGAGGGGTCCTAGCCAAGAAGTCGATGCAAACGTTTTCGGCCGTCGTGGCTGGATGGAGGCACCAGGGCACTTAAGATGGTGGTGCTACAGGTCACCGATGCTATACATCAAGCCTGGGGGGCTCGCCTCCAGATGAAATTATTCGTTGACGACCTCAGTATCCAGGTTCGAGGAGCGTTGAGATGTCTCACTGTTTTGCAGGCTGCTGTCACTTTCTATATCCGTGAGATCGAAGGCACCTGGAGCATCCCTGTCTCCCGTGGTGCCCGCGGCAAAGGGTACATCCTCGTCGCCGCGGCCTCGGCTCGGAATCGCTGCGCCGCTTGGGCCAAAGACCTGGGCCTTGCCATCGCCGACACTAGCTCACAGCTGGGAGTGGATAGCGCTGGAGGCGCTGTAGTTCGGAAAAGGAAGAAGATGCAGAAGCGATTTAAGTATGCATGCCAGCGCAAGGCTAAATTAAAAGCCCTCTCGAAGCAAGGGGCCCGCCTCGCCAGGGTTGTCCGCCAAGGGGTAATCCCGTCCGTGACCTACGGGTCGAGCTGTTTAGGAGTCTCGCCTGTTTCTCTGAACAGAATGCGTGTCATGGTCTCGGGCAGCCTGGGCGGTAGCGCGGTCGGAAGAGACAGAGTCCTCCGACTTTGGACGCATCAAGTTGATCCTGTCGTCGAGGGATCACAGAAGCCGCTATGCATGTGGGCCACGCAGGCGTGGAATGGAGTTCATCATGTAGACATGGCCAGGGCTTGGCGCAGGGAGATGTCCCGAGAAGCGGCCAGACGGAGTCGAACGCTGGATCGCCCCTGGAGCCAAGTTCAGGGCCAGCCTCTGCCTGTAATCTCACGCTGCAGCGGCTTGGCTGGTCCTGGCCTAGCTGGCACACCCTTCGCATTCACACGGGTGAGATGTTTGATATGCGCCGATCTGCGCCCAGCACGCTGCGCAAGTATATTTACCTTCGTTTAGAGGATCAAGAGCTCACCGACTGGGCAACACAGCGAGGCATGCCCTTTCGGAAGCCCTTCCTCGAGCCTTGTCGCGCAGCAGTCAGGACAAAAAAGAAAAAGGGCCAGAAGCAATCGGCTATGCTAGCTTTCCTGTGCAGTGATTTTTGGACTCAAGACAAGGTTTGGAGAGCCGGCCACTCAGAAGATCGAAGTTGTCAAAAATGCGGGCACGCCATCGGGAACCAGCATCATAGGTTTTGTAGGTGCCCAGCGTTTCAGGAGCAGCGTCAGGCTGCAGGTGAATCCTACCCTGACATCATCCACCGCGCCTCCTCCTCGCGCTCCTCTTCCCGTCTCTTTTCCAGGGCTCTCGCGCCTCACCCACTGGGGGACCCCTTCATGGACGTCACGCCCAGCATGGAGACCCTGGACCCTGAGTATGGGGACGATCCCCTACTCTCTGGACTGGCCTACTCGGATGGGTCGGGGGTCGGGGTCTCGGGGTTGAAGGCGTTCGGTTGGGGCCTCTGTTTTGTTGACCAGCATGGAAATATACGCAAAGCAATGCATGGCACGGTACCAGGAGTTAGGCAGGCACAAAGTGTACTTAGAGCAGAATTGCATGGTTTTCTGAATGTTCTTCGGCACGGCACTGCCCCGCTACAGGTGGGGATCGACAATTCTACTGTCGTTCGGGGCTTCAGGCGAGGCCCAGCATGGTGCCGCCAAGCCAGACGACCGCATGCCGATTTATGGCATATGATTTGGAATGCGATTGAAGATTCGTTCGCGGGTGAGGGTGACCTCGTCGTCGTCAAAGTTAAAGCGCATTCCAAGAAGGCCCAGGCCCAGCAGCTCGAGGGACTCGAGCTGTGCAACTACCTAGGAAACCAGTGCGCCGACCTTCAAGCGAAGGAGGGCGCCAAGCTAGACGCCATCCCGCCGCGTATCAGAGACACCTGGGTGGCCAGATTTAAGGAGGTTTGTGCAGTCCTCGGGCTTGTCGGAGACATGACCTGTAAGATAGGCACATTCGATGACACCACAGGCGACTCCAGAACGCCTCCCAGCCCCCTGGCCCTCGGCCGCGCCGTTCGGTCTTACCTCCTCCCGAGTCTCGGCATGTCCTTGAGTGGGACAGGGGGTCCTGGAGGTGTGCACGTTGCGCCAAACGGGCCCACAGCTACAAGGCCAAGCTGGTGTTGTCTCGTAAGTTTTGCAGAAAGGGCTTCTCCTCGCACGCCAAGTGGAAGAAGATAGCGCGTGTCGACGGGGCTCCTTTGGAGGGGCCAAGGCGACACAAGCTGTCCAGAATTAGCCATTACACCTTTTGTCGAGAGTGCGGCGCCTTTTTGAGCGCCAGGGCTTGTGGGTTGCTTACTGGTTGTCCTAAGGACCCGAGGGACCACAACGCCAAGACTCGACGTAATCGTCTGCTGGCAGGCAAGCATCCTTATAAGAATGACAGACTGCCTGGAGAGGTGGTCGCGCTGTCAAGAACCCAGGAATTAGAGTTTCTGGAGTCGATTGGGATTGCTGCCAGGGCCTCCGCCGCGGGAGGTGGCGAGGAGGCACACCTTTCCTCCGCCGCCTCAGGCGGCGCGGAGGACTGACCTGGCTCGACGCAGGTGGACGCGAGGTCCTCGCCCACGCTGTGCTCGCGGGGAAAAAAAAAACCTCCTCCTCCTCCTCCTCCTCCTCCTCCTCCTCCTACCTCCTACCTCCTCCTCCTCCTCCTCCTCCTCCTCCTCCTCCTCCTCCTCCTCCTCCTCCTCCCCAGGGTCCTGGCGTCGCGGTCTGCCCGCCGGCGGTCTCCTCCAGTGTCCTGGCGTCACGATCTGCTTTGATCGGGGGCAGCGACAGGGGGGGATAGGCACAGGGGGGGATGCATCGACCCTCAATCGCCCATTGATCGCCGATAGGGGCCCGACAGCCCCACCCCGCCCAGGGAGGCGCGGGCTCACTATCGGGC